GCGCCTCGACCTCAACTTGCCTCACGTACCTATGCGCTCCCGCCGCGGCCAGGACGCCCGCGGCGGCCTGGCGGGCATTCGGTTTACCCCGCTTTGCTCGCCACTGCCGAGTGAGGCGCTGGCGCGCGGACCGCCGGCATGCATCACTGCCCTCTTGCCGTCTTCGCGCATGTCCAAGCTGCTTGTTCGCTTTGGGGAGGTCCAGACAGACGGCTCGAACGTGTGTGTGGTTCCGGTTGGTCCTGGTGAGACCGCCGTCAGCGTCGACGTCCCGCAGTCGTTGCCCGAGTCGGCCACGCCGCCCACTCCCGACTCGCCCGATCGTCTGGTCAAGATCTACGTCTCCACGGGCAAGAAGTGGGTTCTCATTCCCACCGCCTTTATCTTTTTTGATTCTGCCAGTCTCGAGGTTACTCTCTGGCCGCGATGCGGCGTCCGCCCGGCCTCTAGCAGTCGCAGCTCTCCGCCGTCGTCGCGCGCCCAGTCGCCCGAAGCCTCACACCGTCCACCCATTGCCGACACCGTTGCCTCGCTCACGCCGCAGTCGGCGGCCGTACGCGCCATGGCCCGCTCTAGCGGTGCGCTCAACGCATCGTCGGCCGCAGCCGCTCTCGCCGCCGCCGCCTCCTCGGCCTTTGAGCCCGATGTCGAGCCGGCCGGCTTCTACGGCGACGAGGCCAGCGATGCATCTCGCCGTGGCACCCGCGTCTTCATCCTGGAGCCACGGCTCATGGCGTACCTCCCGCTCGTCCGCTCGACGCTCAAGGTCAAGCTCGCCTTTCAAAAGCAGTTTGGCCCGCCGGGCGTCTCCATCCGCATGCGCCGGCCGACCGACGAGCTCAACTCGACGGGCGGCCCGGACATGTTGTCGAGTGCCGGCCAGAGCTCCACCGGCGCCCCGTCGCGCGACAAGGCAGCCGTGGTTCTCAACGTCAACGTTCTTGTTTCGCCTGACGCAACGAGTGAGACCCCGACCCACCTCGCCATCATGGCTGCTGCCGCGCTCGGAAGCCAGACGACCATGGCCCAGGCTGTGCTCGCCGGCGCTCCGCTTCCATTCTTCACCATTCCGCCTGACATCATGATTGGTGCGCAGTCGGTGGCACTCTCGCTCGATGGCGCGGCGTCGTGGATCAACCTCGATGGCAGCTTTCTCGTCTACGACGCAGCCTCGCTCAGCGACACTGGATTCTCGCCAACCGCCTCATGGACCCACGAGTCGGTTGTCTCCACCTTTTCCGGCGACCTCCTCAAGCATGCTCTCTTCCGCTACCGTACCAACCCGATGGTCGCGCTTGGGGCGCCGCCACCGCCTGTTCCGGTCTCTACCCTCCGCATGCGCCTCCTGTCCGAGTACCTCTCGTCCGAGGCAACCGCTGCCGCCCTTGTTCAGGCCTCTATCAAGTCTGCGGTCTCGTCGCCCAAGGCGCCTGACTTTCCCGACCGCCCAACGTCGAGCGGCGGCGGGCCCGGTGGTGAACTCTCTGATGTTGTTGTCATGCACACCCGTGCCACATCCAGTGCCTCGACATCACATCAGGCGCCGAGTGGGGGCTTGGCGGGAGCATCTGGTGCTGGAGCCAGCTCTCGCCGCAGCAGAGCAAACACTCGCCGCGGTGCTGGAAGCTCAGGCATGGGCACTCCGACCGGACAACGCTCGGCGGCTTACGTCTCGCTCCTCAGCTCGGCGCTCTCGTCATTGGCCAGCAGCTCTTCGAGCGGCCGTAGCTCGTCGTCGGCCGCCATCGGCGACGTCCTCCCGGTATGTGTCATACCCTCCGAAGGCCACTCACTGTTTGAGAGGCCGACGTCGGCGTCGTCACGCCGCCGCGGTGAGCGACTCTCACTCGACTCGGGCGGAAAAGAGTCAGACGAGACGATCGGACAAACCGGCCACCGCGGCGAGCCGGGCTCAACAGCCCGGGTCGGGAGCGGGAATGCACGGGCGCGGCTTCCGCGCAGGGTCGGCTCGATCGGCTCGGGCATGGGCGGCACTGTTGACGATGGCCTTGAGGTTGAGGGCATGCGATCATCCAGCGCACTTCGCACGCTCTCGCGCATCGGCGAGTCGCCAGTGCCCGAGGCTGTCGACGCCGCCACCCTGGCGGCGTTAGTGCGGATGAAGCACCCTGCGCTGCTCAGCCAAGGTTCGTCCGGCGCGGGAGCACTCACTATCCCCGATGTGGCCCTCGTGGTTCCGCCATGCTCGCCCGGCCTCCGCCCCATCTTTATCTCGCTCGATGCCGGTCAAACCTGGGTCCAACTCGCGCTCCCGTTTCTCCACTACACAGACGGTGCGCTCACCGATGTCACCATCGAGCCGGCATGCGCTCCTGCAGTAGGGTCGACCACGGTTGCTATCCGCGCACCCGAGCTCAAGTCGCTCCTTCCGTACCTCGACATCCGCGTCGCCTTTGTCTCAGAGGACTTGCTTGGCTCGTCGGCCGAGCTCCGGCATCAGCAGCTGAGCCGCCGAGCCACAGCCCGGGTCGCCAAGACTGCGCATGCCGAAGCGCTTGCCTCGACCGAGATGACCTCTGACCAAGTCCTCCGCCACGTCCACGCCTCGCTCTCCCCCGAGTTTCTCTCGTTCTGGATGTCGGCGGCCCACCAGCGGACACGCGGAAGCGGGTCGTCGGCGCGACACGCCGGCGGAGTCGACTCGGGTGCCTCAGGTGGCTCGCACAACGGCGAGGCCGTCTTTGAGGATGCCATTCGGACACGAGTCCGCACCGGCGGCGACGAAGTCACCATGATTGTCCCACCACACGACATTGGCCTTTTTTACATGCGTATCTCCATCCACAGCCAGCCGGGCATCACGCTGCCGACGCCGTTCCTCTTTTTCGACGACGACATGCTCAAGGTCTCCAAGCTCTCGTTTTCACCGGCACTTGGGCCCATCGAAGGCGGCATCCGCATTGCGCTGCATGGCGAACTCGTTCCATACTTTCTCCCGTTTATGGGCCGGGCGCGACTCAAGTTTGCCTGGCCGTCGCGCGGCTCGCACGCTGTCGCCTCAATCTCGCTCACCATGCGGTCCAATCGAAGCGGTGACCGCAACGGCGACCGTAGCGGCGACCGCAACGAGCTGCCTGATTCACTCGCTGGCCAGGGCGCCATGCCGGGCATCCAGCTGGTGAGCCCGTCCATATCAGAGGTCGATGAGGATGTGGACGACTCGCTGCTGGGATCCATGTCAGTCGAGGCCGTCTGCGTCCTTCCTCCCGGCCCTCCCGGCCTCTGCATGCTCTCGTTTGCGCTCGACGGCGAGGCCTTTGTCGACGTTCCCTCCAAAATCTACTACTATGACGCAGACGGCTTCTCGCAACTCTCGTTCTCACCGCGGTCCGGCCCGACCTCTGGCGGCACACCGCTCAAGATTAGTGTCAACAGCCTTGCGCCGCTGCTGGACCACATTGACGTGGTGGTGATCAAGTTTGACTCGGGCGTCACGCCGCCGGTTGTGGTCAAGGGCGAGATTCGCAGCGGCGAGACCATCACTGCCTTTGCTCCTCCGCTCGCGCTCGGACCCCACCAGGTCTCGTTCTCGCTCGACTCGGAGACCTGGATTCCGTTTGAGCGGAGGTTCCATGCCTATGAGCAGCCTGCGGTCTCCATCTCCCCGCAGTCGGCGTCGACCGCACACTACACTCACGTGGTGGTCACCTGCTCCAACGACCACTTTGTCTCCCTCGGCATGGTCCCGGTCCTCCTCCGGTTCTCGTCGACTACCTCGGTGCAGCCCATCGAGTTTGAGGTCCGCGGCCTGGCGCGGACCTACCTGCGTGCGCTCTCCACAAGCCAAGCGGCCGAGGCCATGATTGCCGTCAACGAGCCGCACAGTGAGCCGTGCGAGACCAGCGACGGCGAGATGCGCGAGTCTGCGCTGTCGGGCTTGGCAACGTCAGAGGTCGAGCATGCGCTCCGGGCTGTGTGGCGTGACGCCGAGCCTGTCCTCGACTTTCTCATTCCGCCTGACATTGCGCTGCCTGGCGAGTACTATGTCTCGCTCTCGCTCAACGGGCGGATCTACGGGCACGACGACTCGGACGCGCCGTTCCGGTTCTACGATCCGCCGATTGCCGACAACGTCGCGCCACCGCTTGTCCCGGCGTCCGGCGGCTCGCACATTACTGTGTCTGGCAGTCAGTTCCCGCGACAGGGCAAGCTGCTCATGGGCCTTGTGCCCCTCAGCGACTACTTTTCCTGGCTTGAGGACTCGAGCTCGTACGACGAGGTGACTTTGGATCAAGACGAGGAGATGCATTTGGTGCACGTACTGGAGGGTGCGCTGGCAGCGCGGCGGCTTGACCTCGCCACAGCACATCGGTCGCACGCTGGCGCTGCAGCCGGGCGCGGCATGAAGAGCTCGCTCGCCTCGGACATGGGCTATGCGAGTCGCGACGGCCCGTCTCGCATGCCTTCGCCTCGTCACTCGCTCTCCCCAGGCGATGTGCGCACGATGCGTGGCTCGGCCTCGCTGGCCTCACTCTCGTCGGCTTCGGGCGTGCATCCGCAGTACCAGCGGGCATTCAAGGCCTCGCTGCTCGCAGTCTCACCCATTCAACTCCGATTCCACAGCGACCGCGAGCTAAGCGGCGTGGTACCGGCACTGGCGCCGACCACGTACGCTGCCTTTATCTCGTACAACGGCGGCGAGACGTACCACTTTTGCTCGCGCTTTCTCCTCCACGCCTACACCGAGCCTGTTGTTGCCGGCGTGGCACCCACCAACGGCCCGACCATGGGTCTTCCTGACGTTCGGCTGCAGGTGGCAGACCCGGCACAGCTTGTGGCGCTCTCGCGAATTGACATGTCTGCCGCGCGAGTCGCGCTTGTGCCGGTCGACCCGACAACAGGCATGTGTAACCCACCCTCGGCGCCGGCCGGCGGTGGCCCGCGGCCGGGCTCGCGGCCGACTGGCGGCGCAAGCTCGGGAGCGGAAGCCGCCCGGGCCGGCCCGCGCCGGCGAACCTCGAACCTGGACTCGAACACCGCCGATGCATGGAGTATGTCCGGAGGCGCGATGGCGTCCAATGCGGAAAAGGTCGTCGTCCCAGTCCACCTGTTTTTCGAGACGGCGACCGGTCACCGGGTCGCGGCATCCCAACTCGAGTCCTCGCTCTCGGACGCCATGGGCCAGCTCACGTATTTGGGGCAGTACTTTCCACCATCGAACCCGGACGGCTCGTCGACAAGCGGATACGGCCACGGGCGGACAGCGTCGCGATCAGGCCAGAGCGGGTACGGCGGCGGGCAGGGCGGGCGAGGCGGTCCTGGCGCTAGCGGCACGCCAGTCGCGGGCGGTGACGGCCAGCTGCCGCCAAGAGCGTTCATGCCACTCGAGGCTGCGCTCATGCATGGCCTCATCACGTACGACATGTACACAGTGGAACGCCGGGCGATCGACGCCACTCGGATCTCGCTCATCGACTCGCTCTCGGGCTACTTTGCTTTTGATGTGGCGGCGTCGACGTCGCCGATCCAGTATGGCGTCTTTCTCGCCGTCAACGGAGTCGATTTTGCACCGCGACCAGTGGCCACCGTCGGCGGAGATAAGCTCGGCTCGCTCTCATCACTCGGCTCGTTTTCGTCGCGCCATCTCTCGCTGGAGATCCCGCACCCACCGCTCTTTACCATGCTCGAGCCACCGGTTGTCGACACCATCTCGCCCGAGTTTTTGGTCAACACCGGCGGGACACGGGTGACCATCTCCGGCCGCAACCTAGCGACGGCAACCCTCTTCTGCAAGTTTGTGCGGCAAGGCGGGGCCGGAAGCGACGAAGAGTTTGTCGTCCAGGCTGAGGCCTCGCCTGACGGCTCAGAGGCAGTGTGCATCACGCCACACTTTCGGGACGTCCGACCGGGTTCACTCCTGGTACTTGAGCTCTCCCACAACGGGCAGGCGTACGTTCCGGTCCCGACCTCGATCTCGCACCCGTTCCGGGTTTCTGTCCTCCCGCACGTTGAGTCGCTTTCGCCGCTCGCCGGTCCAATGGAGGGCGGGACGACGCTGCTCATCAAGGGCCATGGCCTCATCCATGTCGCCAACATCGCTGTCCGCTTCACGCTTGGCAACCGGGCGTCGACGGTGATGGGCGAGTTCAAGTCGTCGTCTGCCATTGCGTGCCAGACGCCGCCGGATCTGGGAGCGCCTGGCCTTGCCCGGGTCTCGGTTGCCCTCGACGGCGTCAACTTTTCCGGCAACGGTGTCGCGTTCTGCTTTCTTCCGCCGCCGTACATTGTTCGCATGTACCCGTCGGTTGGACATGTGCTCCCGCTCGTTGGCGAGGGCGATTCGCCGGCACCACTGCCACAGCCTGCGAGCGAGAGACGGACGTCCGAGGCTACGTTGCCGTCTCGACCGGTGAGTGCGCTCCGCGGCACGCAGCGGCGACAGTCGATTTCATCGTACACCGTCAACGACATAGACGACCTTGCGCGGCTGGTTGCGATGCCGAACGCGCACGAAACGAGCACGCCGCGGCGCGGCATGCTCGACGTGAGCGAGGTACACAAGAGGCGGACGCGGTCGCCATCGATTGTGCGACCTGGCCAGCCGCGGCACGTGGTGGTGCTCTCGGCCACTGCTGTTTGTTGTGGCGACTTTTCGCACCCGCTCATCCGATTCCGACAGGACGGTGCGACGTCAGGCTCGATGGAGAAGCTAGCGCTCTCCAAGTCGCGACTCCAGCTGGCGCTGGAAGACTTTGAGACCAAGCGGGTAATGTCGGCCAACGCCCAGCTAGAGACCGACTCGCCGCTGGCTTCGCACTACGACGAGCTATTCGCCGAGTCCGAGGCCGACATCAACACGTTGCTCTCTCGCGAGGATCTCGTGCGATTCCAACTGCCATCGGCGCTCTGCCGCAAGCCCGGACTGGTCTTTGTCGATGTTTCGGTCGACGGCGGGGCGACGTACACCTCTGGCGGCGAGTTTGAGATCGTGGCCTTTCCGCGGCTTGGCCTCCTCTCACCGTGGTGCGGACCTGCCGGAGCTTCGCGGGTCATATCGTTTGTCGGCCTTGGCATCGACAAGATGGCCTACCTCCGGCTTGTCCCACTCGCCACACGATCCGCGCTGGTCGAGCTGCAGGCGTCGGGGCAGGCGTCGGGATCGTCGCTGAGCCCAACAGCCCGGCTCGGGCTGGGCATGGTCGAGGACGAGGAGGACGACCTCGGTGTGCTTGGTCCTTTTCCGCTCAAAGTCATTGGGCAGCTCCACGTCTCGACTCTACTCAACGTGGCAGCACCAGCGCTCCTCGCAGCCTACAAGCCGATGGCGATGAGTGAGACTGGCGGCGCGTCGTCATCGCTTCTGGACACGGGTAGTGCGCTCGACGGGGCGAACGCCAAGTCGGTCCGCGACGAGGCTGGCGCACTGGCACTCCTCCACAAGCTGCAGCGGCTTGTGGAGAACCCAAAAGATGTCTCGCTTGTGACATGCAAACTCACAAGCTTTCCGGGCTGGCGTGGCCACTACGAACTCCAAGTTGGTCTCTCCTCTGACGGCCCCTTCCGCGCACTTGCGAGCGACGCGGAGCTAGTTGATGTGCTCACGGCCCAGTACGTCGACGTCGACAGTCCGAGCGGCGACGATGAGGCCAGCGATGTTTCACCGGCACCTAGCCAGCTGTCGGCGACGGCCAGTCCGAAGCCAGCGACGCCACAGCGGGCAAGCAGCGCTGGCGACTCCGGTATTGGCACCTTTTGGCTCTTTGACGAGGCATCGGTTCTGAATGGTGCGGTCATAGAGCCACAGCATGGGCCGCTGACGGGTGGTATCAACGTTGCTGTGGTTCTGACATCCAACGACAGCGACAATGACGACGACGACGATGGGGATGGTGTTGGTGGTGGTGAAGTTTGGAGCGCCGTACTTGCTCGGCAAGCTGCTAGGATGCGGGTTGCACCCAGATACGCTTCGCTACCGCCTGTGGTTGTTCTCCGCTCACGCGATGGACAGCAAGTGACGACACAGGCCGAGTTTACGATGCCGCACCGAATCGAGTTTGTTATGCCGAGAATGGCCGATTCAGGCCTAGTCACGGTCTTTGTGGGCCTCGACGGACTCGATGCTTCACAGCTTCCTGTCGGGCACTTTGAGGTGTTTGAAGAGCCACGGGTGAACAAGACGGTGGCGCTTGGCCCAGTGGGCATGCTCCACGGTACGCATCTTATGCCCAACTTTCCTCTCCTCGCCTACCGCGACTGGAACGAGGCAGAGACACCGGAGCATCGGCTTGGCGACTCTGGGCTTCACCTGCCGCTTGTGCGGATTTCGGCCAGCGGCGGCGGCGGCGGCGGTGAAGAGAGCAGCAATCCCGTCGTTGTGGCAGCATACGGGACGACGACATCGCTTGCCTTTCATGTGCCGGATGCATTCCTCGGCGACGCGGTGGACCACGAGCAAAAGGTTGTGCTTGGCCTCGAGCTCTCGTGTGACGGCGGAGCACGGTTCTCCAACGTGGGCAAGCTCCAGATCGACCCACACATTCACGACACGGTGCAAATGTCTGTGTACATCGAGTCAATATCTCCGATGTGCGGCCCGACGATCGGCGGGACGACAGTCGAGCTCCTCCTCGAGGGCACACCCGGGCTGGCGGGAATTCTTGTGGCCGGCTCGTCGGGCCATGAACACTCACCAACAGGCGCTACACCTGGCGTGCCAGGCCAGAGTGTGGTTGTTCCGGCCTCTCAAAAGTGTCGAATCAAGTTTTCGATGGTCGGTGAGGAGCGGGTGGTCGAGGGCGTGGTCGAGGCTGACAACGAGACGCCGCCGTCATCGTCGGGACGGGTGAGAATCCGAATTCTTTGCGAGACACCACGGTTTCTGGCACCGGGCCTCGCACAGGTCCAGGTTGCGCTGGTAGGCACCTCGTTTGTGGAGTCATTTTCGGCCTCGTTCTGCTTCCTGCCGCCGTCGCAGGTGGAGAGCATTTCGCCACCGGTGATTGCACGAACGGCAGCGTCGACGATATTGACCCTCCGCGGCGAGGGCCTAGTGACCGGCCAGCTCACACCGCCGGCGTTCATGCTGGTGTGTGGTGGCAATGGCGAGCCGCTGGACGGATCGGAGGTCGAGGTTGTTCTCCCGGCACGTCTCCAAGTAGTGCTCCGCAACCTCGTTGACTCACGGCGGGCGATCCCACTCTCGCTTGTGGGGCACACGCTCGCAAAGACCTTCCTCAAGAGCCTGTACACGTCTGCGGCGGATGCGGTGGCGTCGGCGATGAGCGAGGGCGACATGCTTGTTGTCCGAGCGAAGCTTGACTCAGCAATCCCGCGCGAACTGGCCGTACTGGGCCTGGAGTCTAACGCTACCACTGTGGCCGAGCCGTTGATTGTGGTCAATCCCGATGACGAGATTGAGGACGACGCCGATGCTGTGGCTGAAGCGATGCGACGGAACGAGATCGAGACGGTGACGCCGAGCTCTGGCCCGGCGGCTGGCGGAACACGCCTCACGGTTCGGCTCCGGTCGACACTGTTTGACGTTTCGAGTGTGTTTGGTAGCTCTGCCGGCACGGGCTTCGTCTCGAGCTTCCAGCATATGCCGTCGGGCGGGTCAATTGACTCTGTCGAGGCAAATTCGGTGTCGGGTGAGTCGGACCTGAGCCCGGCCGAGTTGTCACCTCCGCCCCGTGCTTTGCACGTTGCAGCGCCGCGGGCAGCGTCATCTGCCCACCTCTACGGTAGCCGCGAGAACTTGGATCAAGCAGACGATGAGCCTCTCCGTGGAGCAATTGTCGCCTTTCTCCGGCGTTGCAAGGGGTGCATGGCCAAATCACGGAGCACAACGTCGACTCAAGCTGGGCTCTCGTGCTCGTGCTGGTGCGTGACCATGTCTGCACAACAGGTGAGCACAGGTGTGTTCGAGGCGGTGACGCCTGCTATGGAACACTCGCAATGGGGCGTGCTGGGCCTGGTGAGCGTGCTGGTAGCGCCGCTGGCACGGCTCGGTTCGGAGCGCCGTTGCGTTCACCCACTTGTTCCTCACCATGCACACCTTTTTGAGCCTGTTGGCACATTCTGGGTGTACCAGGTGCCTCGGCTGGCATCTTTGCGGCCTTGTGTGGCATCGCTGGCGTCACGAACGCGTGTCGAGCTGCAGCTGCCGCGGCCAGTGATCGGGCCAGCCGAAGTGGTGCGCGGCAAGTGCAGGGTGAGCATCGCGTTCCCTGGCGGCCGCAAGCTGTTCCTGGATGCGGACGTGGTCTCGTCGTCGACAATTGCGTTTGAGCTCCCGTCGCGAGCTGAGCTCAGTGCGATGTATCCAGAGCTGAACAGCGCCCTTGCGGCGGGCTTGCAGCGGAGCGACTCTCGGGCACTGCTGACGTCTGACGGCGAGCTGCAGGTCCGGCACCAGGCGGCACTGGAAGTGAGTGTGGCACTCAACTCGGAGCAGATGAGCGAACCGGTGGCGGCGATGCTTGTGCACGCCGAGCTGGAGGTGTCGCACATGGTGTCGCTTCCCAAGGTGCTGGCGACCAAAGTGGGAGTGGGCATGCTTGTTGGCGAGTACTGTGGACCAGTGCTTCCACTCTCTGCCGTGACGGACGCTATGCATCACGTGGAACATCATGTCGATCCACGGCATGAGAGCGCGACGTCACGGACGAGCAAGACTATGATATCCGTGTCGATGCTGCGGTCTGCAGTGCTCTCGTCATCACTCTCGTCTCGCGATTCGCGCGGCTCGTCGCACTCGCCTCGCAGCAGCAAGGCCACACCTGCGCTGCGGGTATCCAACTGCTTTGTATGGCTGGCAACGCCCGACTCATTGCCAGAGAGTGCGATAGAGACCGGAGTCATGCGCGAACCGCCAAGCGAAGAAGTGGTGCCTGGCTACGGCTTCCAGTCGCGGATAGTGTTCCCACTGGCCAAGTCTGTGGCGAGTGCGCCCAAGCTCCACGTCTTTGTCTCTGTTGACTATGGCGTCGAGTTCAAGTGTGTGACGCAGTTCTCGTCGAACCGGGTGCCTTTGCGACGGCGTTGGCGCCGTCGACGGGCCCGTCGTCAGGTGGGACGCGGGCAACCATCCAGTTTGCTGCCGACGGCCCAGCACTTCCTCCGACACTGTACATTCGGCTCGAGTCGTTCAATCTTGTACTGGGTCCGCTGGAGGTCGACGTTGATGCCGGCGAGGTTTCGTTTCACATGCCCGCACTGCGTCTGGATGCGGATATGCTTGCTGACCATGACGGCGGCAACGAGGGCGACGGACTTGCGGCGTCGGTCTCGCTGGCCTCTGTGGCTATGGCGGGCGGGAAAGGCAGTGGGAGCGGAGGAAACGGAGCGCTGATGGTCAAGGGCGGGCGGGTAGCGTCAGGGACGTTCCGGCAGCGTGGACGGGCGGGCTCGGTGACCTCGCAGGTGCGCATGCCCGACGGCAGTGGCATGGGTAGCACTGGCGGGCCACCCAGCTCGCTGGCCAGCCTCGTGTCCACGCCGTCGTTGAGCGAGGGCGGGGCCAGAGGGCGACGGTCGCACAAGCTGAGGACTCGGATTGGGCTCTCAATTGATGGAGGCACGACGTTTGTCAAACAAGGCTCTGCGGTCTCGTTTACCTTTTTCGAGGAGCCGATGGTTGATCGAGTCTCGCCGAGGCTCATTCCGCTTGACGTGTCGTCACAGGTCTCGATTTATGGGACTGGGCTTGCGCCGCACGCGGCGGCGAGCAAGAGAGACGGGCGTGGCGTTCTGGTCCGGCTGCTACCCAAGGCCAAGATCGGCAAGCTGCCTGCAAGCATGGAACGGCGGCGTGCACTTGTGGCGCGCGAGTCGTGGGCCACCATATTGCCGCTGGCGGACTTGACTGACGGCGAGGCGGTGTTTCAGCTCCAGCCCGAGTCGCTGGCAGTGGTGCGACCCGGGCTGTTCTGGCTGGCGTTCTCGTACAACACTGGCATCGACTGGGTCATCTTTACCGAGCTTGTCATGCTGTACGACACCGGCGGTGGAGCGGCGAACCTCTTTCCATCATCAGGCCTCATTCGCGGCGGCCGGCGGCTGGAAGTGGTCCCGAGCCACTCGCTGCGGCTACAGCCACGGGCCGATGTCTCTGTCTTTGACGTAGTCGTCCGGTTTGATGTCGACAGGTCGATGGCACGGGCAGGCCAGACAAGCTCGTCGCGGGTGCCGCTGTCGGTGGGCGGCGCCGAGCCGGTGATCGTGCAAGGCGAGCTGGAGTGGGTCCGGCGGCTCGAGGGCGAGGCGGCCGGTGATTGGGTGGTGGTTTGCAGGAAGGTGCCACCGTTGTTTGCCTCGATTGTGCACATGATGAGTGCGCTTGTGACGTACTCGCTCGACGGCGGGCGGGTGTTTGGCGAGGCCTCGGCTGTGTTCAACCTCTTCCCCACCCCGACGCTTGACTCGATTGCGCCGTCGAACGGGTTCTGCACAGGAGGCACGACGCTCACACTGCGTGGCGGGTTCCCGACAAGCATCGACGGCGCGCCCCGGGTTCAAGTCCGATTCACGGTCCGCCGCATCCTTGGTGAGAGCGAGGAGCCCATTGGCATTGGCGGCGGCGAGGGCAGCAGGAGCGAGAGTGGCAGAGACGGCGACAAGAGCGGCGAGTCCGACGACGAGTCTAGCTGCGATAGCGTTGCGAGTGGTCAGCTCAGCGGGGATACCGGCGGCGTGACGCGCGTTTCTGCCGACGGGCGGTATGAGGAGATGGAGGTGACGGTGCCTGCAAGCTCTGTGTCTGGATCGACGGTTGTTGTGTCTGCGCCTGCGGTGCCGTGGTCGTCGCTCTCGACGGCGGTGCTCTCCCTTTCGTTTGATGGCGGGGCGTCATGGGTCTCGTACGACGAGCCCGCGCTTCAGTTTCAGTTTACAGGCCGGCCGCGCGTGCATGGCTTCTCGCCGTCATTTGGTGTCTCTCACCAGGAGCACGACATCGACTTAGCGGTCACTGGCCTCACGCCTGTGCTTGACGAGATGTCGTCTGTGGTCATTGCGCTCAAGCCTGTGGCGGACGAGGGATCCGGAGACGAGGGCGAGGTGAAGAGTGGTCCTGCGATCTTGGTCTCAACGACTGTACCGGAGCTTTCCGAACTGATGGCGATGCGCGCACCGCTTGCACGAAGCATGGACGCGCTTGCGCGTGTGGCGGCGTCTGTCTTTTCCAAGGACGTGCGGCAGGTGCTTCTCTTGCAACGCGCGGCGTGCCAGGCGGAGCTAGAGGCGAAGCTTGCACCCAGGCTTGCGGACGTGCAGAGCATTTCGGTGCGAGTCCCGATGCTCGAGGCCGTGGGCCCGTACGGGGTGGGCATTGCGCTCAACGGAACGCAGTTTGTGTACTGCGAGACGTCTGCGTATCACTCGTTTGAGCGGATCCGGATCACGTCGATTTCACCGTCGCATGTGTTTGCGAGCAAGCCAATCACGCTCACGCTCCATGGAAACTTTGTTGATCTTGGCGGGGCCCGGGTCTCGTTTTCACGGGTGCTACCGTCAGGTGAGCTTGCCGCACCGATTGTGGTGCCGGCTAGGCTTGGCGAGGCAGATGCCAGCGAGACGGCTGCAGCTGCCGCGATGATGTCGATGGGACGGTCGACGTCGCGAGACACGGTGCTTGTGGCGACGACACCGGCGCTGCCGCCGTCAACCGAGTTTGTGGTCGAGGTGTCGCTGGCCGACCTGCCGTTTACACGACAGCACCGATACGTGCTCAAGTCGATGCCAATTCCTCGGATTACCGAGGTGGTACCAGCGGTACTTCCGGAGGGATTCTCAGACCCGATCAAGCTGATGGGGACAAACTTTGGCACGGCGCCGATTGTGGAGCTTGTGTTTGGCCCATCGAACGGGCGCGGGAGCGGGGCTGGCGGCAGCGAGTCACGGCGGCGACGGCGCGGAGCCAGTGGCGCCGGCGACAGCAGCCGCGAGAGTCGCGGTGGCGGCGGCATTGTCATGGCTCCACTACCCAGCTGCGATGGCGAAGACGAGGTGCAAATCAAGCGGGCAGCACGGGTGCTGTCCAAGACGGAGATTGTGGCCGAGGCGCCTCCGTTTTCAGAGAGCCATCCGGCGCTCTCGCTCCTCCTTACCTTTAACCGGATGCAGTTTGTGGAGGCCGAGTGTGAGGTCTTGTACTTTGCACTGCGGTCGCTGGTGCCGCGAGCTGGGTCAGCTGCAGGAGAATCGCGACTTGTTCTGCGAGGCGTGTTCCCGGCCGGTGGCGCGTCGGCGGTGGCGACGGCGTCCGGCAAAGTGGCGGTCCGGTTTACGCAGTCGATGGGTGGGAGCTGGAGCAAGGTGGTGAGCGCAGTGTTTTCGCGGTCAGGTCACGAGCTGCTCTGCACCACGCCGACGTTTGATGAGGCTGTGCGCGGGCCGGTGATGGTGGAGGCGTCATACGACGGAATTCACTACACGCGGTCGCGGTTGGAGTTTATCGTGTTTGACGAGCCAACGTTCAACTCATTCTCGCCGGTGAGCCTGACGCCGTCCAAGGGCGCGATGCTTGAGCTTGCGACCGAGAACGTGACAGATACCGGCATGTTGGGCGTCAAGTTTGTGGATGCCGTATCAAAGACCGAGGTGCATGCAGCGACGGTGCTGGTCAAGTCGAGCTCGACGGTCCTTGTCTCGCCGCCACCGTACGATCCACAGCAGGGCGACGTGGCGTACTCGGTCGAGCTGACGCTCAACAAGCAGGACTACATCCCGTGCGGCTCCGGTGAACTCTTCCGGTGGGTGCGGGTCAAAGCGGTGTTCCCGCTCGCGGCGCCTTTGCGCGGCGGGACGCCGCTGACGTTTACCGGAACCAACCTCACACCCGATGCCGAGTACTCGGTCGCGTTCCACGGCGCCAACACGCTAGTCAACTCGGTCCTCACGCCGCTCCTCCACGGTGCAGGTGTCCTGATTAAGTCGTTCTCGATGGCGCAGCTCTCGCGATCGTTTTCGCGCCAGTCGGTGGTGTGGAGCAGCAACGACGAGACGGAAGCCGACGTGAGTGGCGCTTTGGGCTCGAAGAGCAAAAGCTTGTCCAGCTCGTCAAGTTTGCTCGAGGAACAGATGGAAGAAGAAGAAGCAATGAGCGGGAGCGGGGATGGTGACGACTTTGAGTCGATTTCGCTCTCCAGCGCCTCGAGCAGCTCGTCGAGCAGCGGATCTCAGCAGGCGGATGCGTATGGACCAGACGACGATTTCGAGGACTTGGGCGACGACTCATTCTCGCTGGACGACATGAGCTGCGGAAGCGAAAGTACGGCCGAGAGCGAGGCTCCGTCTGCGGGCAGTGATGCAGCCGACACTCAATGTGGCTCAAGGTGCTCTTCGTCGGCTTCTTCGGCCACTTCGTCGTCTTCGTCTTCACTTTGCATCCAGAACGAGGCGATGTTGCCGGCTGCAGCCAAGTCGGTGTCGTCGTCGGCGGACTCGATGGTCTCGTTCCAGGCTCAGGCCTCTATGGATGTGCGGAGCATGATGGGGGTGCGAACCCAGTCTGCGGCGGCGGCGAAGAGCGGGAAGTTTGGAAGTATGGCTGGGCAGGCGAAGCGCAGCAAACTGGAGAGCGGGATGGCGTCGTCCCAACTTGCGTCTCAGTCTGAGGGCGCGATGGCTGGCTTTGGAGAGGGGTACGCGGTTGGGGCCACGTCTTTAGACTCTGACGATGGGGTGACGTCGCTCGCGTATCACAAAAGATTCGAGCTTGCGGTCGAGCCGGCGACGGGCTCTGGGCGCCACGAGCACTTTGTCGGCTCGATGAAGGAGCCGCAACGGCCAGGGCAGTCACCGCTCTCGCGCGGCGGGAATAGCAGCTCGTCGAAAGTTATGTCGATGAAGCGGCAGCGGACCGAGGGACTGCCACCGATCAAGGTCAGGCTCGGCGTGGCGCCACCCCGTGACAGCGGTGTGCTTTGGCTGAGCTCGCTCTTTGAGCTTGGCGAGATTCACTGGCTGGAGACGCGTGCTGTCGACGAGGTCGAGTACCGCGTGGGCGTGTGCAGTGTGACGATGTTGCGGAGTGTGGAGGTGGTTGATGCAAGCTACGAAGGGTGGCAGCCGCAGTCGGATGATCTGGTAGGCTATCTCACGGTGGTGTCGCCTGGCCAGTCTGCGGTCTCTGTCCTGCAGATGATCTCTCTCCGCAGCGTGATGTCGTTCAACTCGCTGCTTGATGCCAAGGCGGCGATCGGGTCGGGCGAGGCGAGTGGCTGGATGAGCAGCACCATGTCGCCGACCATATCGCGGCACACCTCGCGGGCTCGCCGCGAGTCGAGCGTGAGCGCGGGTGACAGGCAGACGTTGGGCCGGCACTTGAGCGGGATGACTCGGGAGCGGTCTACGACGGAGCCGACGGACCTGTTTGACGCGGCCAAGCTGGAAGCGCAACTGGACTCGGTGTTTGTACCAGCGGAGCCGTTAACCCGCGAGGAAGCGAGCGGGCTTTTGCTGGCGCTTGGTCTGGTGAGCGAACGTGGGATGGAGGAGAGCTACCGCACGTTTTACGCGGGTCACGGGGTGTGGCCACTGGATGTCAACTTGATCTCCACCTTTGTCAACATTTTCCACCGGCCTGTACCGATTGATGACGAGCATGACGATGAAGGCAGTAGCAGCGAGGTTGGCGATGGTCACGATGCCGATCATGCCGCCGACGGCGGCAATGGGCTCTCAGGTTCGATGGTTTGCATCTCGGTTGCGATTGAGAGTGAGACGGTGACGGTGCCGGCGTCGGTCGAAGCGCGGCGGGTAGTGACCGGAACGGTGTCGTCGTCGGTCTCGGCAGGCGATGGTGCCGCTGGCGGCGGCGGCGGCAGCGAGGTTGACGAGGCGAGTGGTGTGGGTGATGGAAGCGGGGTGCTCTCGATTTCCATGCTCGGCTATCTCCGGCAGCCGCACGTCCATCCTAACCCACATGTTGGGCGCGGAAGCGGGGGCGGAGCCAGCGGAGTCGCAAGCAGCAAGGCGCTCGGGCGGAAGCGAAAAGGCGGAAGCGGGCGGACCGGCGGTGAGTCGGCGGCCAAGCTCGGGCTCAATGCCGACGTCGCAGGCGAAGCTGCAGCAGATCTGCCGGTGCTGCCGATCTCTGTGCGCTATACTTTGAGTCTTGTGCAGGCATCAGGGTCGAGCGCGGTGCGAGGCAAGATCTCGATCGGGGCCTCGTCGGCGCCGTCGTCGCTCATTTCACACGTGGACGTGACAGGACACTACAACCGTGACGGCAAGGGTGTGCTGTTCCTCACCCCTTCTACGACCAACTCGTCAACGACGTTTTCGGACTCGCGATGGGAGGGCATCGTGCCATTGGCAAACTCGGGCGGAGATGACGGAACCGGCTTTGGCGCCCAGTTTGAGCTCTTTGAGTACGGTCCGACAGCCGGCACAGAGACGCTTCAGTGCCGGTCGCCAGCATTTGAGCGCAGTTTCGATTCTGTCAAGGCGATCGTTTCGCGGAACGGGACGGCGCTCGCCGACGCGCTGCCGTTCTATCTCCTCAGTGAGCCCGAGGCTGTGACATGCTCGCCGGCGTTTGGGCAGATCCGCGGTGCAGGCGACCTTGTGCTCCGGTGGGAGCCGGCACCGGCGAGCCTGGAACTTGTTTCGCTTGAGAGCTACAAAGCCTATCGCGAGGCGAAGGACCGCGACGACGAGGCGGCGGCCCAGGGTATGGCTGTGGAGGCGCGGTCAGGCGGGGTGTTGACAGCGCCTGCCGGCGGGGGCAGTGGTGACCGGCGCGGGTCCAAGGCAGCGGCGGTGGTGGCGAAGCTGCTGCTTGCGGCGCCGCAGGTGGAGATCCAGGTCTTTGTTGACTCGCTGCCGATGCCTGTGCGCGAGGCGGCTGTGACCGCGAGTGGACTGATTGATACCGAGCGTGTGGAGCAGCGGTACCTGGACGTGATGCGGCTGGTGTACACGTACTCGGGCGGATGGGCACTTGACGAGGTTAGTGGCGAGTGGCTGCTGTGCGCGGAGATTCCGCGGCTGGAGGCGGGGCTGGCAGGCTCGCTTGCGGCGCAACTGAGCAAGGCTGTGGGCTCTCCGATTGCGCCTCTCCTGCTGCGGGTCTCACTCAATGACGGGCTGTCGTACTCGAACCGGCTGGTGCCGTATACGCTTGTGGCGCCGCCGCGCATGCACTACGCCGAGCCGGATGCGTCGCCGATTGGCGGAAGCGAGGAGATACGGCTGGTGGGCGAGTTTGAGCTGGAGCCCTCTATCGAGGCAACAACGAGGCCAGCGGTCGAGTTTTGCAACGTGGCAACTGGCGAGACTGTGGTTGTGAGAGGGAGTGATGTAATGCGGATCTCGCCCCATGTTTTTAAGGTGGTGACTCCTCCGATGAGCACCTCTGGCAACGTTCGTGTCTCGCTGTCCTACACCGGTGTACAAATGCGATGTGAGCCACCGGTGCATGTGACGTACTGGCGGAACACGGCCGAGCTCAAGGCGTTGCGTAAGAAGATGCGGCGCGAGCGGCAGGCGATGCGGCAGGCGCGTGACCGGTTTCTGGCGGACGCTGTCCACGACTCGCAGTTGGACGAGATTGTGCATGCTGGGCTGACTTCGTCGGCCTCACTCTCGTTCTCGTCTCAAGCGCTCCACTCACTGGGCAAGGGTCGCGGCGGCAAGGCTGCGACGGTGCGGTCAGCGAGCGAACTGGGCGCGCTCAACCTCTCGGTCTCGTCGGTCTCGTCAGCCGGCTCACGGAGCGAATTAGTAGAGTCGCGGGCGAGCCAGAGCTCGCTTGCGCGGCGGAGGCTGAGGCAGTCAGCAGGAAGTGGAGGTGGCGGCCGCGGTGGCCGAACAGGACTGCCACCGCGCTCGCGGCTGCCCAAGGCGCAGAGCGTCGCCGATGACGAGCTCTCTGAGTGCTCCGAGGCGATTGTCCGTTCATGCGATGAAAGTGAGAGCGGGAGGAGGTCGCCGTCATCATCAGTCTCGTCGCTCTCACCGGGCTCACCCATTGATGGCGAGCCAGTCGGTGTGGTGCGAAGTGCGGTGCGCCGAGGAGATCCACGGAAGGCGGTGACGACGTCTGGGGTCGAGGAGCGCGAGTCGCCGAGCGAGCACTCGTCGCCGCTGCCATCGTCAAGGTCGGTGTCGCCGGAGCAGGATGAAGAGGCCGGTGGCGCTCACTCGAGTTCGAGCGGGGCCGAGTCTAGCAGCGGCGACGGTCTTGAGCTGTTGTCTGACCGTGAGGTTTTGGCGCGGATGGGGATTTCCCTGAAGGATCTCGAAGCCGAGCGCGAGGCCGATGCGCGGCGCGAGGCCGAGCTTGACGAGGAGCTCAAGGAGATCGAGGCGCGACTGGAGGCGTCACGGAAGGAACAAGATGCGTTTGAAGCGTCGGAGCAGGCGCGACTGGAGGCGCTACAGGCGGCGATGGCGGAGATTGCGAGGCACGAGGCCGAGGAGATGGTCCAGCTGAAGCGAAGCGATGCCAAGGCGTGGCAGCGGCGGCGAAGCAAGCTGGCCAAGCGCGAGCGGAAGCGTGTCAAGCAGCTGCGGTTATGGCAGGAGCAGAAGAAGAGTCGGTGGGCCAAGGAGCGTGCGCGGCTGGAGGCTGAGGCTGAGATGGTTCGGTTGAAGGCAGCCAAGTCGCGGAAAGCCAAGACGCAGCAGCTGCTCATCAGGCGGCGCAAGGAGTGGGTTGTGCTCGCGCGGCGGCTGGGCCCAATTGCCTCGGCCCGGGTTGCCAAGCGCCACGCGGCGTTGGCGGCAGAGCGATCTGAGGCACGCGAGGCCGAGGCTGCAGCGCGGGCGCGAGCGCGTCGCGAGCACATGGCGCGGATGGCCGAGTCGCGGGCGCGAACGGTGGTTGTGCACCGTGCACGCGAGCGAGCTTGGGATGCCAACGAGGAGCATGCGCGGGCGGTTGTTGATGCTGCGCACCGGCGTGAGGCCGAGCTGTACCAGCAGGTGGAGCGGATAAGACCGGACGGCTATTACCGAGCGATGGCAACCATTGCGCGTGGAGCGCGGCTCGAGCCGGTCTCTCGCGCTTCGGCATGGGCGTCGAGCGCAAAGGTTCCGGAGCGGCTTGCGGCATCCGAGCCGCTGCCATCGATCCAAGTAGCCGGCCCATCGTCGTCGCAGGTCTTTGGCGACGATCCGTTCGGCGGCAGCACCAGCGGCGGTGGTGGCAGTGGCGACGACGACGATGCCGTGGGCGGAGCACAGCGTGCGCTCACCCACAGCGACCTCATGTCGTCACGACCACCATCGGGCCCTGGGCGTAGTCGGACGAGCCGGTGGCGCGAGCATCGCCGCCAGCAGCAGAGCACGCCTCACCGGCGTCGCGCGTGATGGCCCTTTTACGGTTGATCTTGCGCAGTGGGGATAAACAACCGCTGACGATTTGTCGATGATATGGTGGTGCCGAAGGTGACAGAGACTCGATTTGCCAGACGACCACCCCACGCCACTTGTCGCAAATCGCCCATTCGTACGTTCGGCATGACACCACCACCACCACCACCACCACCGAGTACAGCCCCAGCGAGTCCTCCCTCTCCCCCACAGGACACAGAAGTAGAGCACACAGAGCCACCCCGACAAGCACATCCCCCCCCCCCCCCCCTCTCCACATCCCCACTCACCGTAGATTCTAGTCATGCTCGGGGTGGGCTCACGCAAGACGGCGGTGGTCTCGTCCAAGGCACACGCGCGCAAGGCGGCAGGCGAAGGATCACGAGCGGCGGTGTTGTCGCTGTATGCGGTACCACCGACGGAAGAGCTTTCGCTGCAAGAGTTCGAGGAGCTGGCGCTCAAGAGGGTGCAGCTGCTCAAGGCCATTGCGGCGGCCAAGGCGGTGGGCAAGAGCGGGAAGGAGCTGTCGCTGGCGGTGGGCAAGGCCGTGGACGCCTTCCTGCCCTTCCGGGCTACCTCGCGTGACGAGGCTGAGCGCGAGGACCATATCTCCCACTTTATTCTCCGTCTGGCCTACTGCCGCACCGAGGAGCTCCGCCGGTGGTTCCTCACCCACGAGTGCGAGCTGCTGCGGTGGCGCATCGGCCGCGAGAGCCCTGCCGCCGTGGAGGCTTTTCTTGCCCGCGAGAATCTCAACTATCCCTCGCTCACCAACGAGGAGCTGGCACGTTTTGAGGCGCAGCTGACTACCATCTCGACCATCATGAAGCGCAAGGACGATCGGGCGGCGCTGGCCCAGGCGGCGGAGAGCTCGTTGGCCTCGCTGAAGACGACCGGCAAGCTGGCCAAGGACGCCGGCGGTGTCGGCGGCGGCATTCGTCTCACGGCCGGCTCGTACTTTAAGGTCCCGTTCGAGCAGGCCATCGAGCTTGTGCAGCGGCGGCAGGTGTTTGTCAACGGCGGATGGGCGTACGTCCGGCGCAAGGATATGGTGGCCATTGTGGTGGCCGAGTTCCGGTCGCGGCTCTCGCGGTCGCTCGCGGTGGCGTCCAAGGCGCTGCCACAGCTCTCTGAGGACGAGCGGGTTGTCCCGCTCCTCACCAACCTCTCGCGGCAGTACCTTGGGCCGGACTACTCCAAGACCAAGGTAGAGGGTGCCATCTCGCTTGACCAGATCGACACACTTGCCAAGCGGTCGATGCCGCTGTGCATGTCGAACCTGCACTCGCACCTGCGGTCGGCCCACCATCTCAAGCACGGTGGGCGGCGGCAGTACGGACTCTTCCTCAAGGATATCGGGCTCTCGATGGAGGACTCGCTCAACTTTTGGCGGGCTGAGTTTACGCAGATGATGACGCTGGACAAGTTCTCCAAGAGTTACGCGTACTCGATCCGCCACAACTATGGCAAGGAGGGCCGCCGCGTCGAGTCGCGCGCCTTTTCGTGCGTTCGCATCATTACGGCCAACGCACCGGGTCCTGCCGATCACCACGGCTGCCCGTTCCGCCACTTTTCGCCCGAGAAGCTCGCCCACACGCTCACCGCCAAGGGCGTCGGCGGCGCCGGTCTCAAGGAGATCCTCAACCTCATTGCGGGCCACCACTACCAGATCGCATGCACCCGCTACTTTGAGCTGACTCATCCCGACGCCGAGACCGTCCAGCCGATCGAGCACCCGAACGCGTTCTTTACCCAGTCCGAGGCGTACTGGCGGGCCAAGCAGGGCTCGTCCGGCGAGGAAGCTAAGCCCAAGCTCCGCCTTGCTAGTGATGCGGCTGGCGAGGCAGGCGCTGGCGAGGCAGGCGCCAGTGAGGCTGGGCCGTCTGTTGAGGCTGGCGCTGCGGTCGAGGCCATGGTTGTTGCGGACGACGAGTGATGGGGGGTGTAAATGTTACTCGAGATCGTTGTCGTCGTAGTCGGAGTCGTCGAGCTCGTCATCGTCGAGATCGTCGTCGTCGTCATCGTCATCGTCGTCGTCGTCATAATCGTACGCGTCACCGTCGTCGTCGTCGTACTCGTCGTCATCGTCGTCGTACTCGTACTCGTAGAGGTCATCGTAACCGTCACCATCGGCGTCATCGCCATGGTCATTCCCGTCGTCGCAGTCGTCATCATCGTCGTCGTACTCGTCTGACGAATAGTACTCGTACTCGTACTCGGGCGCAGTGGCCTCGTCGTTGTCGGGGACAGAGGCGGCAGCGGCAGCGGCGGCGGAGGAGCGCGCCGAGGCGACATGGGCGCGAAGCGCGGGGCTGGCGCCGTGCGAGTTCGTCTTGCGACGGGTGAGCGGAGGGCCGGCAAACGGTTCGACAGACGAGCCGTCCTTCTCGGCGAGGGCGCGACGAAGGCGCCAGATCTCGTACGCCATCTTCTTCATCTGCGACGCGTCGTAGCCGTCGAGCGACTGGGCAGTCTCGATGGCCTTGGTCTCGAGCTCTGGGGCGGTGGCGGTGGCGGTGGCGGTGGCGGTGGCAGCGGCAGCGGCAGGCGCGGGAGCAGGCGACGGCGGGGGCGCGGATTGGGCCTGCTCGAGCTGAGCCTTTAGCTCTGCAATCTGGGCACGGTACTCTGCGTTTTCGCGGAGGAGCTGCTGGAGGCGGGCAAATTGGGCCTTGTACTTGGCGAGGAGCTCGGTCTCGGACGGCTCGATGGCGTTGGGCACGACAGCAATCTTGGTGACAGACGAGGCATGGGCGGCAAAGACAAGGGTGTTGTGCGACTCGGCCATCTTGGAGGCCTCGGGGTTGAGGGTGCAGAGGCAGGCGATGCGGGCGTTGCCAACCAGCGACGGCTGGAGGATGCGGGTGAGCTTGGAGTCACGGAAGGGCAGGTGGCTCGAGTTGTTGCCCTTGGAAAGAATGGACATGATGCGCGAGAGAGCAAGGAGCGAGCGGTTGATGTTTGCACCCTCGGAGCGGCCAGAGCCCGCGGTGCCGGTGTCAGAGAGGCACTCGGAGCCGGCCAGGTCGATGAGAGTGAGGATGGAGACCGAGACGGCGCCTGACGGGTCGTTGGAGAGGAGGCGGATGCGAAAGACGGTGTGCGAGCGGGAGGAGCGGTTGTTGGCGCGTGTGGCGCGGTAGTGGCGGGCCTTCTCACCCTTTTTGAGGAACTTGAGCACATCGTCCTCGTCGTGGACCGGTGACGATGTGAGGCCGTCGATGATGACGCCCTCGGTCGGATCGTCAAATACCTTGAGGTTGCGGCCGCGCTTCTTGGCCATGAGGTCGTTGACAACTTCGTTGTAGATCTCCAGGTACGAGACCGAAATGACGTAGTCCGAGAGCGTGGCGCGGGCGTCCTCAAACAGCTGACGAGCCGCCAGCCGGATGATGCCGGGGTTTTCGGGCGTGCCGAGCATGGTGTGTGTCTTGCCGGAGCCGGTCTGTCCGTAGGCAAAGATGGTGGCGTTGATGCCACGGGTGGTGTCTGCGACCAGGCCCGTCACCTGCTCATCGTAGATCTCGGTTGTCTGCGACGCCGGGCCATAAACCCGGTCGAACCCGTAGCTCCGTCCCGGACTGCCATCGGGCCCCAGGTCGGCGATGGTCTGCTCGTCGAACGACCACTCGTGCCCCGCGTTGGCGGCAGCGCCGCGGGCTGCACGCCCCGTTCGCGATCCGCTGCCACGTCCACGCCGCACCGCGGTCCCACCTCGGCGCTTGCTTCGCGCCGGCGGCTTCCGCTTGGCCACGCCACCAACAACGCCTACGTGTGCACCTGCCCGCGAGAGCGAGACCGGTCGCCCGCGTCCACGTCCACGGCCACGTCCACGTCCACGCCTGCCCGCCTTCTTGGCCGAGCCACTCGCCTTGGCACCCTTGGCACCCTTGGCGCCCTTGGCACCCTTGGTGGTCTTGGTGGTCTTGGCACCCTTGGCACCCTTGGCACCCTTGGCCTTGGGCTTGGACCTGGCCTTGGCCTTGGGGCGGGGAGTAGCCGGCGGACGGACCCGGACAAGGACTTTGATGCGCTCGGGTCTAGAGGAGTCCATGGTGTGTGTATGTGTGTATGTGCGTATATGGGGGTGAGAGGGTGAGACGGTAGGGGAGGGGGTAGGGGGGAGTGTGCGAGGAAAGTGGGGTGTGGGTGGGTGAGTGTGGAGGGAGAGGAGCTCTCAGGTGGAGGTGGCGGTGCGGAGCGGGAAGTTTGTGAATGTGGCGGTGGGGCGACCGAGGGAGGCTGTGACACCCGCTGGTGTGGTGGCAAGGAGGGCAGGGCAGTTGCGGCAAGCGAGTGCAAGGAATTTGACCGGGAATATGTAGTGGTGGTGGTGGTGGTGGTGTGTGTGTGTGGGGGGGGGATACAGGGTGTTGCGCCCACCGCACCATCAGGCATCGGGGTCGGCGGATGCGGCAGCGGAGAGGGCAGACTGCTCCCCAGCAAAGGTAAAGCCGTCAAAGGCCGACTGAGCGGTGTCGGAGAGCTTCTTCCGGTGTGCGCGGTCGTGGAGAGGCTGGGCAAGGAACTCGCCGTCGACATACTGGATGTCGTCCGCGGCCTCGACGGCTGGAATCCACGGCGGGGTAATGGTCTTGGCGAGGAGTGCGTCCCAGTCGATCGAGGCAAAGAACGGATGTGCCTTGAGTTCATCGACGTCATCGTTTGCGCCGAGACGGAGCGAGGGCTCGCGATGGAGGAGGCCTGCAATGAGCGACTTGGCGTCTTTGGAAAAGTACGGCGGGTAGTAAACCTGCTCGTAGAGTGTGCGCTCATACATGAGGGTCTTGTTCTCGGTGTAGAATGGCGGAAGGCCGGAGAGCATCTCGTAGAGAACAATGCCGAGCGCCCACCAGTCGACGCTAAAGCCGTGCGGCTCATTGCGTAGGATCTCGGGCGCGAGGTACTCGGGCGTGCCGCAAAAGGTTGTTGTGGTGTCGTGCTGGTCGAGGTCCTCCTTGCACAGGCCAAAGTCTGTGATGAGGATGTGACCGTCCGAGTTGATGAGCAGGTTCTCTGGCTTGAGGTCGCGGTACGCGATGCCAACCGAGTGCAAGTGGCCGATGCCAAGCGCGATCTCGGCGGCGTAGAACCGGGCGCGCGACTCGGAGAACTTCTTGTCGCGCTGCAGGTGGTAGAAGAGCTCACCGCCGTTGACATAGTCCATGACAAAGTACAGCTTCTCCTCGGTCTGGAATGAAAAGTGGAGCGAGACAAGGAACGGGTGCGAGGCCGTCGAAATGAGGACGTTGCGCTCCGACTTGACGTGGTCGAGCTCGCCCTTTTTCATGATAGTCTTCTTGTCGAGCACCTTGATGGCGTACACTTTGTTGTCGGCAATGCCGCGGGCGAGTACAACCTTGCCAAACGAGCCGCGCCCGATGACTGAGAGCAGCTTAAAGTCTGCCAGCGAGACCTTGGTCGCGCCGTCCACCTCGGAAGCCACCTCGGACTCGGCCACCGTGCCCTCCATGTCATCGACTGAGTCCGGCGCCAGAAAGTCGACCAACTCGCTCGACTTGCGGACGACGTCATCCGCCAGCACCCGCGCCATGTACCGATGCAGCGAGACGCGCCGACCCTCGACAAAGTCTGGGTTGAGGTTACCGAGCAGTCGCTTCTTGGGCAGGCCAAAGTCGACACCGTACTTTTTCTTGACCTGCACCGAGAGTGAGTTCAGGGGAGCAGTGCAAGGGGAGGGGGAGGGGGGGAGGGGGGGGGGGAGGGGGGGGGATGCGGTGTGTGCGTACCTTGTGGTTGAACTGGTGGAAGTTGCGGTAGCGGCGGTAGATGGACCATGCAGACGGGCCGCACTTGATGGAGAGCTTGTATACCTGTGGATGAGATGGAGGG